TGCACGCAGCTTAGAACTAGTGATGGGACGAATCTTTATCCGAATCGAGATTCGGAGCCGAATCTGAAGATTCGGAAAGATTCGGAAAAGTAGCCGAATCTCGAGAGATTCGGAAAAGTTCGGAAAAATTCGGAGCGTTGCCATGGTGTCCAGATCACGTTGATGAGTGTTTCAACTTTTCGTGATATTAAATTCACTAAATTCCACGAAGTGCACAAAATATTGCTGTAATATAATATCATAGTAATAAATAAAATGTTCCGCTTTGTTTTTTAATATTTCGGATGTTTGTCGAGAACGGTAACCAGACATCGCGGGAAAATTGGTTTCGGTTCCGGATTACGACCAAAATAGGCATGCTTGGTGCACGTGGAAATACAAGCGCATGTTTTCATCGCCCCGGTCCCGGCGGTTCGGCCAGTTCGAACTTCAGTGACAGTCGGTTGTGGGACAGGCGGTTTGACGAGAGTTTGTTGGGCACCAGGAACCTCCGGCGTTGTCGGCGGGGTCATGGCAGTGACCACCGCGGCTGCCTTGGCGGCGAAACGCAAGCGCGATAAGTTCCTCGTGGATTTCGTCAGGCTTGGCGTGGTCGCCCCAGCCCGGCGGGATTCGGCGGACGTGCAGCCGGTGCAGCGGCGGGTCGACGGAGCGCGAGGTGATGTTTGCGCGAAGGTCACGTTCTCGTACTCCGGGGTTCCCGGAGACCGAAGACGTCCAGCGTGCTCGTCCGAGGTTCGCAGCAGTCCCCCCCGGAAGAGATCGATGCCATACGTGCGTGGTTCAAACCACGACCGGGTTCAAACACACTCCGTGCCCATAATTACGGTCATAGTAGCACACCCCACACAAGTAAGTATGTTCGATTCGATTATCTTCAACGTGTGTCCACTCCGGTATTGTTATCTGAACACGGGAAACAATCTAAAACTCCTTGCGCTGTACTATTCTCCTTTAGTGCATTTGTACCTTTCTGTTTAATGATACGGTATCTGAATTAGTTGGTGTTTGTTTCTGAACAATAAAGTTGCGGTGGACACCCCTGTGTTGTTTCTTTTTCATCAAATAAAGTTCACGTATACAAAACTTGCTGCCGAGAACGGAGAAACGACAGTGCGACGTTTTTCTTCGTCGGTGTCGGTAGGCGGTCGAAGTTGGGATGAGCAACACACTTCATCGCTCTCGCGTCTTACGCAGCTCTAGAGGAGACGAATCATTTTCTTGCATAAATATATTTATTGCGCGTTGCGCCACATTATGTATAACACACAGCATTTTGCTACATTTTACTTTAGCGATCACCGCGAAACTTTGCATTGGTTAGGCCTACGCCAACCACACCGATCAGCTCGGCTGGACCTGGGCGCCTGCCAGGGTTTAGAGTAAGAGTACAGTACATACCATACGTTGAAGTAAATAAGAGAAATCTGGTTATATGCAGTAACAGTACCTAAAAAAGAACACTGCTGATCGCGTTCGCGAGGTTTACGAAAGTGTTCACGCCGCCGTCTGCAACCAGCGACGAACCTGACGAATCTCCGAATCTGCCGAATATTCGTCGCGGGAAGTTCGGAAATTTCCGAATCTGTCCGAATCCGAATCTCTGGTGATTCGTCCCATCACTACTTAGAACAGCCCGTAGCGCGCGCGTACCACGTGACTGCGCCAGCCAATCGCGGTATTCTTCTCTCCTCCCTTTCCTCCTCTCCCTCCTTCTTTTCTCTCTCGCGGGGCTTTGCCGGGGGGGGTCTCACAATACGCTGCGCGGTGTCCACAAGTGCCAACCAGACATCGGTGGGCCGCCGCTTTAAGCACTGTCACGCCCGGCGCTTGGAACGCTTTTCCGACTGGCGCAGTTATTCTGTCCTAAAAAGTGGTCTGTCAATGTTCGCCCGACGACGCCTTAAAGGCGTCGTCAGCCGCGATTCGGGTGGTGTCGTCACAGCAGTGGAGTTGGATGCGAGCCTGATGCAGGTCGCTCTCCGGCTCGACAGTCTGTGGAAGCTTCGACAGCCGAAAGTTGAAAATCCACGGCGAAAGCGACGTTCACATTCTCTTGTACTTTTTTTGGATAGCGACATTCGACAGCCCGACACTCCCCCCCCCACTGCGGTTCATGCTCTACAATCGCGACTGGGCCTGGAGAAAACTTTCTGAGGCAAAGCAACCAAAACAATGCACGCACACATCCTTTTTTTTTTTTTTTTCTTTTTTTTTCTCTATATAGATTATCTTAGGGAACCGCCGGTTTGGGAGGTTCCAGCACGAACATGCACGAGCGCACGGAGCAGAGTAGCGCAATCCTTTTTTTGGGTTTGTGTGTGTGTGTTTATACAGCCTAGAACTTGGTCTGCCTCACAGGGGCGACGAATCTCCCAGCTGTAGATGAGAAATTTAGCCAGTGCGGTACAGCCGCTAGCCTGGGGTCTTTAACGTGCATCACGCAGTAGTGATACACGACCGCACGCCGGTACGATGCTCATCCAGATCGAAACGGGCAGGGGTGGGGCTCGAACCCATGCAATCCTTTGAACTCCGTGTTTTGCCGACAACATGGCCGACAGAGCGGATCGGCGCGAGTGACGTGGTACTCAGGGTTCCAGGAGGCGGCCCGCCCTATGGGAGAATACATGGAGATCGACACAACACGGCTGATTAAAAAATGAGCGGCGAGTTCACACTTTTCAAAACTAGTCTGTCGTGAAGTTAGTAAAGCACCAAACATTTTATCAAAATTTTAATAATATCGGATGCGTGTGAAAATTTTGAGAAGGCAATTTCCAAGGCAATGGCGTTTGAAGCAGACGATTTTTGCTCGCAGCGGAGATGGGCTTTTCGGGTTGGCTGGAGCGGGTCACGTGAATGGTGTGACGTCGCCGTGTCGTCTGCTGCATGATGCCGCTCAGTCAATTTTTTAAAAAAAGTCACGTCCTTGTGGGGCACAAAACTTAGCGAAAATTATTCTAAAATGTTCCATTATTATGTCAAAAACGATTGCCATTCCGTACATCCCCACAATACTGAAGAAACAACGATTTTCTCACGTTCTCCATGCATTTCTGACCGCAGTTGGAACCTCCGGGCGTTCGCCGCTAATCGCCGACGGGCGGCGTTCTAGATTGCGCTACTCCAGAGCCCGCTACTCTGCTCCGAAGGAGCTATTTAGTGCTCTAGGTCCCACCATCTACACTCAGTTAAGGCATAGAGTTATTATAATGTACGCTAGAGGTTCAACTGGCGCTAGTGTCTATGCGACTTCCGTGACGCAAATTGAAGCAGACAGCAACCAGTCTAGTTTTCCAGTCTTCCTGTGTATTCCTATGGGAAAGCGCGCGTGCATTTTGTCTCTTCGCCGGAAAATAACACGGAACACTTTGGTTATTTGGGTTGTACCGAATACTATGTACCTTGATTTACACTGTAAAAGTGTAATTGCTTTAGTTAGCGCATTTTTCTTCATCAGTGACCGATGTTTAACTTCGCTACATTTCAGTCCCAAACGGGTGTTCCGCAGCAGGTGTGTAAAAACAAGCGACGATTCGAAGCAAAGTTACAATAGAAAGGAATGCAGAGTGTGTTCAAGGCTCGCCAGCAATCCGGTGACGCTTATATATATTGATAATATGCCAGTCCTGTCACTATATAAAAATGACCCCGTCGTGCATGAGCGGATAAAAACATTCAAAACGTTGAGAATAAAGTCCGTGGGCTATAAAAGTTGTCTCTTCGTATTGTTTTCTCTGCCGGGCAGCTTTTATCGGGCACTTGTTCTCAGAGATTTCGAGCGTGCGAGTGATATTTTGAACGTAGAACAAGCAGCTTCGCTCAGAGCAGAGAGAATAAAACGGTACTCACTTATTTAAAATAGGAATAGATTACGTGGCCTTCGATTAATCTTGATCGTATATGCACGTGTAGTTACTGATCCGGTGTTACTGCGTAGTTCTTGCCGTCTTTCTTAATTTCCAGATGTTCTTCGTTCGTTTGGCACGTATATCCCCCACGCTGAAAAGCGTGTTCGCGCTAACAGTGTCGGACAGTGCACATAAATACAAGTACGAAGCTGTTTTAGCACCGTTTTTAATGCAATGAATTTGAAAGAAAAACACTGTAACTGACCAATTATTTCGTCGGCCTGACTGAGAATTGTTCCAAGCTACCTAGTACGTACGAATTATTCGGGATATTTGCTCTTATGATCGAGCGCAGAGAGAAAATGCACTCACTTTTTCCCATAGAAATGCATTACCGGATGTCAATTTTCGACTGGTTGCTGTCTGCTTCAATTTGCGTCAGCACTCTAGCGCCACTTGAACCTCTAGCGTACATTATAATAACTCTATGAGTTAAGGCCCCTGAAATGTAACAAGAATGCTTTTTTAAACAGTCTGGTTGGGAAACGCTTGTCAAAAATGAATTTTATATCACAAAAAAATATCTTTTAGAGCGAAATTGAAGGCGCAGGATTTATCTTAAATTTTGCGCGCAAAGTCCATGACGTCATGGAACAGTCATACGCTCTTTCCAGCTCAACGAGACGGCTATGCACTCTCGTTACCTCAACGTGATGGCCAAGCTGATCCACCTCTCCTTTACCAACACCTCCTCCTTTACGCACTTGAAATGCCAAGAGAAAACAAGTGGAAAGAAGGCGACTACCGACTAAATTGCGTCTCGCAACGTCAATATTGCTCTAAAAATTTTTTTTTTGCGTAAAATTAATTTTTTGAAATGCATATCCCAGCTGGGCTGTTTAAAAAAAAAAAAAATTGTTTCTATTCAGGGGCCCTTTAACCCTTTATGAGGCGCGAAAAATATACTTAAATCAAGTGTGTTATTAGTGTAGTATCTGATTTGTGATGACCTCGAGAAGTGCCTCCTAAAAAATGAATGTGCAACTACATATAGTTTTTATAAAAAAAGTGGGACATATATGTCCCACCGCCTGCCGAACCAACAACGAGAAGTGGGACGCCTGTGTCCCACGGGCATGTTCAAGGCCGACTAGAACGAACAACTACAAAAAATATTTTTGTTTATTAACTCAACACCATTAAATTGTGAAAAACACTCGGCAAACAGTTCAGCTATAATTGTTCTGGGAATGTTGCATGGCAAACACCGCCTAGTCTTGAGGGAGCCCCTTCCGCGCTTTCCTATGTAAATGCCTTTGCGGCGTTCACTGTTCGGAGTGAAAAGGTGCGAAGCACTCGACGCAGAGTGGTACAGCGCATGATTTGCAGATGTACTGGGTCCTGGATTCTTTGGTCCTGGTGGAGCACCATCTACACCTTCGCCTTTTGCTAATTTTTTGTGCATGATGACCACTCCCTTGAAAGCGAAGCTCACTGGGCACTCCAACCATTGCTTGTCCACTTCGATTGCCTCTTTTCTTGTGCATGAAAGCCGCTACTGTGCGTTTCTCCCTGAATGTTTGACGGGAGATGAGCTGGCGTCCCAACATTAGGCGAAACTGCATGTAGTCGACTTCCTTCAGTGACTTGTACTGAATAAAGGCGTTAACAGCAGCAGCGTCAAGCAGGTAGTAAAAAATTCGACACCACCACTTTTTTGACTTGCGGTCTGCTGGGTAAGTGTTCCTCTTCTGATCAAAGCGGTCAACACCCCCCATCCACTTGTTATAGTCTGAAAGCACTTTCGGACAGGACACACCAACTTTGGCACCACTGGCAAGCTTCCGCGTGACTTCTACGATTTCTTGTGGGTCATGGTAGTTGGACATCGCGTGTACATTCTTGTTGTCGCGCCACTGTGTGGCTGTGACACATCCTTTGGACCACCACAGGTGCTGGCCTTTCTGAAGCTTGCACTCCTTGTTTAGCTCGATTGGTAGGTCCTTGCGTGTCGGTCTGAATGTGCCTGCAGCTAGCACTCTCTGCTCCCTGAGCTTCTCCATCAGCTTTGTAGATGTAAAGTAGTTGTCAAAAAACAACTGACTGTTCTCTTCTATGCCATGTGAAAGGGATAAAACGACGTGTTCGCCCAAGGGGAGATCGGGGGGTCGCTTGGCATCCTTTCCCTCGTATATCTGGAACTCTAGGAGGTAGCCAGTCTCGGAGTCAGCCCTACACCAAACTTTATAGCCTCGTTTGATCGGTTTCATTGGCATGTACTGTTTTAGTGAAGACCGTCCTTTGAACGGTATCATACTCTCGTCGATGGACTGATGCGTTGACGGCGCATATTCTCTCAGGAACCTTTCGCTCAAGGCAGTGACGAGGGGCCTCACTTTTGAGAGCTTATCAAAGCCGTCTTCTCCGCGCTTCTTCTCAAGTTCGTGGTTATTGAGATGAAGGCTGTTCATAATCGCCTGAAATCGTTTGAAAGTCATGACGTTTGAGATCTCGGAAACGTTGAAGAACTTATCTGTGCTCCAGTACAAGTACACGTGATGCACTGGGTGCACACTCATCAGAAAAAGCATGCCCAAATACGCTTTGAGCTCATCTGTAGTGAGGTTTTTCCACCCCGCTCGGCGTTTCTGATGCGCATAACGATTCGTCTCTAGCACGATTGTGTCAAGAACTTCTTCATCAAAATACAATCCAAATACATCAGCGACACCTGATGCCTCGGTAAGCTTTTCGGAGTACCGAGGATCTCGATCTGGTGGGTCCTTCACAATCTCGCTAGGTAAGTCTGTACACCAAGAAGAGCCGGTTGCATCCACTTCATCTTCCTCGTGTTGTGCCTCGGCAAAGCTGTCGACCTCCAATGTGCGTCGTCGCCGTTTTTTGGGCTTCTTCCTTTCATAGGTTTTTCTTTTCTTCGATGTAGCACCTGTAGACGGCCCTGCTGCATCTTCGTCCCCTTCCGCTACGGTGTTTTCGACAGGAGCTAGCTCAGGAATGACGTCTTCGTCGCTGGATGAATCGCCATCCGCATCGCTTTGGGTCGGATCGTCTGGGAGACTGAAGAAGAGTTCTACCGCCTCTTCGGACGTCAGCAACTTCCTCCCTAAGATTAAAAAAAACTATGCGAGTCAGTCAAAGGCGAGGAGCAAGGCTCATATAAACTAGCTGCGTAGGGTTAGCGGGAGTATGGCGTGGAGATCTCGAGTTTTACGTTGCACAAGTTTTCTCGGATATTTCGCACTCAACAACACTATAACCCGAGATATACAACAAACGTGTGTCACTTTACAAGAAATAACGATGCCAAACTCACCCGACATCCCAAATTCAAGAAGGACCACGTTGAATCAGGCTGTCCAAAGCGACCGCTGAACGCGCCAAGACCACTGCTTTGTTTGTACGGATGTGGAGCCACCTACCGTTTAGATGTTAAAACAACTGTGCTGAGAGGTTGCTGATGCTCCTAACAGGTGGCGCGACAAGAAAATGTGGGACAATAGCAGTCCCACGAACCCCGAGTGGGGCTGTTTTAGAAATCGGAAAAGCGGGACGTATGCGTCCCACTGTCTCATAAAGGGTTAAGTGGATTCTGAGATTGCCTATATATTGTCATAACTCAAACTACAGGCTCCAAGCATCGTAAAAAATCCGAAATCACATTCAAGAGTGGCCGATTTCCCAATCAAAAATCCAATCAAAGATTGTGACGCACCCCTCTTTCTGCGCCATGGCGCAGGACACAAGGAGGGAGCACCAGACGGTAAGACAGCAAGGGAGGGCACGCGACAGCCAATCACAAGTGATGGCGTACCGGCGGACTAATCTTTCGAATGCGCGCGTATTTGAAAATTTGGTTTGCCGGAAAGCTGTCATTCGTGACTGGCTGTTGCGTGCCCTCACCTGCTATCTTCCCGTATGGTGGCGCCCCTGGTCCACCGCTGAGTTGCAAGACCTATCACGCCACCATAAACATGCCCGTCTGCCATTATTTCACAAGCCATGCATCGCTTCGCAACTATTTTTTTCCAACACCACCCCATTATCTTTCCACGTCACGGTCATTCATTCAAAGTAACGCACATCACATGCCACTCGTCTAGTTATGAACGATCATTCATACCATGAACCATAATCAACTGGAACAACCTACCGGCTTACATTGCAACTGAACTAGATATGTTTACCTTCCAAGAGCTCATGTGCAGTTATACTAATAGAAGAGTATTCACTTGTCTAAAACAACGGACATGTAAAAGAAAGAATATACTAATACTTAATACACTTTTTTATTCCATGTTCTCATATTGTCTCTGTATGCTTTGTGTTTTTGAGTGTATAATAATATATGTGCTTGCGTAAGTTCCCCCACCCCCCCATGTAATACCCTCCTACCCTTAGGGGTATTTTGAATAAATAAAGGAATCTGTCGACCCCACTCAATACGATTATGACGTGTTTCACACTTGTGGACCCAACGGTGCTGCAAGCTGAAGTAGACGGTCTGGCTGAACATAAATCGTGCTTTGTGTCTTCGGCATACTGTGGACGAGCTTAGACAAACACGAAGCAGAATCAGCAACACGTGTCCGAGCGCACAAAGGGTCCATCTGTTCTCTCCGAGACCACCCGTTGTCAAAAATGCGCCCAATAACTGAACAACGGTAACGGCGAGTCTATTGCAGCTGCAAAAATCTTTGAACCAACCATTCCAGGCCCCCTTCGGTACTTGAGCCATCCTCGATGGAGTCATCTCCGAGTCAGTGTGGACCCCCACCTACGTATCTTAACCCTTTTGAGTGCCGCGCCCGAGCATACTCGGGCGCGCTTCCCTCCACACTCGCTGCCGCACCCGAGTATACTCGTTTTGGGTTTTCAATTTACTCCCTGCCTCCGCCGGCTAAACTCGGGTTGACAATATTCTTGTGAACAGGAAGCGCCATCTATGGACAACCAATTGAATCAATGTTTCGAGTGGTGGTTTCGCCTCTTGACGGCAGGTGGAGATTTTCGTAAAGGCGACTTCCGTATGCGTTTCCGTGTCAACGTTCTTTTCCAATGGCGAACGCACGTCCTTTGACTTTGCGCTCCTTGACAGATGCTGAAATACAGGGACTTCTAACGAATTCAGAGTCCGATGACAGTGAAACCGAGCATACTTTGGAGAATGACGAAAGCGACGAGTTGACGTCACCTAAGAGGCTACTCAAAAAGAAAAAAACTCGACGACAGTGGCTACAAGTGAACTACTGGCGACTTCACTCCCATTCTTCACAGTTTCGACTCGTCACCTTCCGGAGTCCGTCCCTCGGGCATCTCAAAAACTTGAAGTGAACTGGAGTACTTTGAGCTCCTGTTTCCCCCAGACGTTGTGGATGTAATTGTTGAGCAGACAATTTGTTTGTGCAGTGGAAAAAAACAGAAAACCGGCACAGGGGGACCGCCGGGCCGAAAAAAAAAGGGCACTTAAAGGGTCAACAGCCCGGGGGTCTGCGGACCATGGCTTGAGAGCCACAGACCCAGATTGGGCTCTCCCATTGTGGCTCATCTTTTGCCCCCAGCTGGTTAAAAGAAACTCCTTCCCTCTGCTTTTTAATGGCCCCGGGGCAGTGAACAGAGGGGCACCTTTAGTTGCAGCCAGCCAATGGGAGGTAGAGCCCTGCATATCCGCAGATTACCCGTGGATATCCGCAGTAAACTGGCGGATTCGGATAAAAATTAATCAGATTCGGCGGATTGCGGATCGGATGCGAACAGCAGGGACTGCAGATGCGGATTAGACGCAGATATCTTCGGGTGCGGATATGCGACCGTACAGTGTATACAGTGAATAAGTGAGCGATACTATGAAGTGCATTATCGATTGTATTACGGGGGCAAACTACTCTCCGAGATAAAAGGTGCCAATCGGGGAGAAAATTGTTCTTTACGTCAACAAAGATTTGATTCTCACCAAAGATCACTTTAGAACATTCTATCTCACCAAAAATACTCTCCCTAGAAAAAGTAAAGAATGCAGAACTATAAGACGTCCTGGGAAGCAAGGTCTTGTTTGGCAGGGAAAGAGAGGAAAATGTTCTTCGTGCAAAGAAACCCCAAATTGTACAAGCGACAAGAAAGTAGATGAAGCCTGCAAGTGGCTTCTTCGCCTACAAGTAGATCAAGAAGACTGAATTTGATCCTCTGGAGTGGTGGAACTGGCGCCAGCACAAGTTTCCGCACCTCATCCTTGAGCGCAGTTTGTGCGTGCAACCCCAGTAGCATCAAGTGCACCAACCAAGAGACTTCTTATTACAAGGTATTAATTTAAGGGGGGCAAGAGTCTGAATCCATCCATGGTGACAATATTGTTTCTTCTACACAGCAACCTCGACGAGTGAAACGCTGCGTGTGTGTGTGTTTTCTGTTTCTCAACAGCTGGCACCGAGTTGTTTCTAAGTATATGGTTCCAAGCATACAGGTAAGGGTATGTGTTGAAAACTGTAATTGATAGGAGGTGTTTCCATTACTGAATAATGGAATATTTTCCCAGTGGTGTACTCGCACCTTACCACAAATAGACGAGCATTTTGCTGTGGCGAGTGAGCACCTCTCCTCTCCCACTTTTTATTGTTTGGCCTAAATAAAATGTCACAACGTTATTAGTCTGTCCTTTGTCAATTTTCATGTTTTTAAAACATGTGCCCGCTTGAAGTAGGTTTCACAAAGGAAAAATTAAAATAAATATAAATTCCCTTCCTTTCAAGCGCATCTGCTGGACAGAGTGTCAATGCCACAGACTCCAAAGACGATCTCAGAACTGCGAGCACTGCGAGCATCTTTCCAGCGATATGAAATGTAAAGGATGATGGCTTATCATAGAAATATGATAAAACAGAATATGATAAAATGACTTTCACCATGTTCTTACACAAAGGTCTCTGTAGAAAGGTAGGCAGGCGGCTTATAAGATATTATCAATATGCCTTTTCTAATTTTTATTCATGCATGATTTTATGATGTAAAATGAATGCGCGGGTTGAGAGTCAGATGTGGTTCCGAATTTCGCAGATGCGGTTTGGATATAAAGTCTGCGGATGCAGATACAACTGTTATCCGCGCAGGGCTTTAATGGGACGAAACTGCCGGCC